TATAATAATTTTTAATAATAATTACATATAATTTACAATACAATTTTCTTTATAATTTATAATAATTTTTAATAATAATTATATATAATTTACAATACAGTTTTCTTTATAATTTATAACAATTTTTAATAATAATTACATGTAATTTACAATACAATTACATATAATTTACAATACAATTTTCTTTATAATTTATAATAATTTTTAATAATAATTACATATAATTTGCAATACAGTTTTCTTTATAATTTATAATAATTTTTAATAATAGTTACATATAATTTACAATACAATTTTCTTTATAATTTATAATAATTTTTAATAATAATTTTTTTCTTTATAATTCTCGATAAGTTTCTTTCCTTTTAATCATATCTCTCTTTCTGCAAAGTATGCATACATGTATGTGCAGGTAGTTTAGGGTTATTTCATTAGCCTCTGCTATACTAACCTCTACCATACACGTTGATGTCTAATTGAACACTCCATGACCTTCAAGACGTCGTTGATCATTCCTTCCTGATAATTTCTTCTTTTCAAAATAAATAAATAATAAACTATCGCGCGCAAATCCCAAAAGTGCCGGACAATTGATCGAATGACAGTGGACTATTCTGTTTTAGTACGTACCTACATTGTTTCTCTGTCTCTACTTTCATTCGGTTTTGCGAAAGGAAAGTAGAGGGAGGGGGATGAATTCAACTGTGGGATTTCGTATACGAATCAATGGAATACGATTGTTCGTTTCGTTTTCAGGCAAAAAAAAAAAAAGAAAAAAAGGGGAAAAAAAGGGAGAAAAAGGAAATATGAACGCGCCGCCGCCGGTATACGCATCCTCCTGCCCTGCGTTGCAGTCGAACCTATCGCTGCACAGTTCTTCCTACTACAGCGAGTACAGCGGCGGTGCGAGGAGACGATTATCGTCGACGGGTGAGGCAGATACCTCGGCCACGTCGAGCTACGAGGGTAGCGACAGCTCCGAAAACAGCGATGAATCGCGCCTGGAACCAGTGAGCCAAATGGAACGGGAACAACTCGAAACGTTCTTCCGGGGTCTGAAGTCGCAGGTGAGCTACGAAGCTGCGAGTGTATGGTAAAAACGAACGAGCGTTCTTCGTCCTTTGCTTTAACCAAATCCGGTTAATAGTATCGGTGTGCTTATTATACTCTTTCGTGGTCACTGTTACGAGCAAATTTCTTTCGAAAGTGGCAACTAAGACACTTTGTTCCCATGTCGAGATTTCGAGAACACTTGCGCTTGCGTGCTTAATTATTTTGATGCGGCGACGAGTGCGTTTGCTGTAAAATTGAAACGAAATTATAATAAATTGTATAAGATTAAATATGCATATTTCAATGGCCGAATTTTCTCGTGTTATTTCACAGGAGAAATACGTGTAATTACAATTGATAACAATTTCCTTTCTCTCTGTCCCGAAGGATTCTAAAAATGTGCTAACATTACATATTGAATGTGTTTTTTATTTTGTCTAATTTGTGATGTGCTAATATTACGTTGAATGTGTTTTTTTATTTCGTCTAATTTTTACTCCAATAGCAACTGCAATTATTTTTTTTTTTTTTTTGTTCCTTTTACTACGTGACGACACGAACTAAATCTAAAGGTTTGAAAAGAATTTGCCTAGAAAAATTGATGTTAATTTACTTATTTTAAAAAAGTTTATCTGTGTTTGTTATTTCAGATAAACTTATATTTTTCTCGGTAAAGATAATTTCGCGACAGACGAGTTAAAGCCATTTTTCATCGCTGGAAATGTGAGTTACGCCACTTTCGAAATAAACGGCTCGTACATTATCGGCCAACTATAGTTGCCGATTGTCGAGAGTTTGCTGTGTCGTCAGTCACCTGTCATCGAACGGTTAAAATTTTGCTCGAGTAGAGAACAATAATTATACAAAGATGTGGCAAAGTGTTCATTTGCGACTATTTTACGGTAATATCGAAAGAGTCAACACGTTGACTGCCATGCGAAACTTATTACGCATCGTTTGTGCAACAAAGCAATATTCTTCGTATTATAATATTATCCAGTTATCTGCGTCATTATGCATCGATTACTCTGAAATATTGGCCGAAACGTAACTGCGCTTTTTTCTCATAGACAGACATGACGTTAAAATTAACTCAAACTGCAAATTCATTCTGCAGTCTGATATCTGATTGTTCAAGCTTGTTTTAGAAAAGACAAATTGTTGCAAAGTTTGTTTTAGAAAAAGCAAATCGTTAACAATCGTCTGTTCAAACTGCGTCGACTTCGAGAAACGTAAAACCAGGGAAGGAACATTTTTCTGCGCTATCTTCAGAAAAGAAAAAAAAAAAAAAAAAGA